GGCACTACCTGAGTCAACCGCCCGAGCGCAAACTCCCGGATGTTCAGGCTCAACCCCTTCCTCCCCCCCCGTGTACTTTCACCAACCTAACGGTTCTGGCCCTCGTGTTAACGACGCCACACTACAGATGGAAAGAGCTCTAAGCGATTTGCCGTGGCAGGTCGCAACTGTTATAAGACAGGTGAACTGTACGGATGCGAGTTGATGATTGTTATGATCATTGAAGAAATTAAGAACATTGAGTGTCTGTAACCCTTCTGTAAGGTTAAGGCAGTCAGTTTTTAAAACATCAATTTCAAATCGTTGTACAGAGAGTATAGTATTCTACTCGCGTAGAATACAATTCGCACACCGTATTCCTCACATTAGCTTTTGCATGCATTCTACTTACGCATTCATTCTCTGTATAAATAAAAATTCGTCTAAGAACGAGCCTAAGTGACAACAGTTCGCTAAGCAAATAAACATCAGATGTAATTCAGAGAAGTATCCATCCGCCGCGTCTGTTCAGCCCCGCCTGTTCATCAAGTGTTTATGTTTGTATATGGCTACCGTTAAGACTTAATGGCTTCTCGTGGTTCAGAACCGTGTATTTATATTTTAAAAAAGATTTATAAAACGCAAAGCACGGAATGTTTCTCGGTCGCAGCTCGCCATCTTACCGCACAGGAGCAGGTGGCACGTGCGCATTGCGACCAGTACGTGTCTGACATTCAAGATTCGGTTTCCAAATCATAATACATATCACGCAAAAAGTAAATTCAACGTAATGTTTATAAAAAAGAATTTTTACAGAAGAGCACAGTAGATCTGCACTTCCTATTTTTCACTATTTCTCGTGGGGAACTATATTTTGGACGGACGAGGACATCGCAAAATGAAGCGTCGAAGCCACTTACAAGTTAGCCAACTACAAGCGAACGAATGAAGGGAGAAGAATTAAATGGGCTCAAAGACAAAGGACCACAGAACCTTCAGTTATGTTGAAAGCACTTGTCAAAACGGCCTATTCTTATAAAAATCGCTCTATAGTGTGATCGGCACAGTACAGCTTACGTACTGAGTTAATCTTAGGGCCAGCATTGTTGCTGTCTCTGCAGCGATTCTGACCGGGAGGTCTTAGTGTTCGATTCCTGACGCCGGTGGATTTCCGACACTAGCTAGGCAGCCAGGTCTCTTTCAGCCGCTGTCTGTAGAAGACGTCTAAAGTCCGGCTGCTTTGATCGGTAGTTTTTTATAATTTTTCCGACCATTACCAGGCGAATGCTGGAACAGTGCCCTACCAAACGGGCCACAGACCGCGAACGATCTTTCCTTCCTCTTCCTTACCTCTCCTACGTACACCCACTTACACTTACATGCACTACACTGCATGCTGTGAGGCCATTCGGGAGCCTAGAGTTTGTGGCGGGAGTTTATGCCTTTGGGGGAGATATCTTCGGGGCAAATACCCCGCAAGTTGACATAAAGAGCGGCACTGTGTCTCACCATTCATCAGAGGGGAAACCGCCATCCCCGCAATAAAGCATTCACTACACTATCGGATTAATGTCCAACGATGATTCAGGTGAGGAACATGGAGGCATGAAAAGTCAATCATGTCGCAGATACAGAAGCTTTTCGCTATCTTTAGCTTCACTGCTTTTGGCCCTGCTTGCTCCAACACAGCTCCAACACGCGCCACGCCGAGGTCTCCTCGTTACCGAATGTCCCAACATAAACACCAGTATAATTTCCTTAAAAAATGAGCCGAAGTGTCAAAACTTTGATGACACTTCTCCATCAGGCAACGTCTTTACAAGTAAGTTTTCACATCACACTTACACTAACCGCGAGCACATTCCACCAGACTGAAAAGAAAAAAAAAAAGACCGCAGCAAGAAAAGACTTGGGGCGCAGACTGGCGCGCGATCCACCGCACCGGTGCGATAAGCTTATCTGCCCCACGTGGGGCGCCATATATTCGCAGCGGCAGCTGGATTTGGCGGGATAGAATGCTGATTAACGACCGAGGGGACCACTGATAGGTGTTAATAGCGCGTGCGTCCAGCGGGAGACGCGTTTTATTCGAGTGGCGTGGCCCAGGATTGAAGTGCGCTGAGAATTATGTTACCGATGCTACGATTATTAGGCTTATTAAAAGGATTAACATGTCACTATATAATCATAATTATTATTTGTCATTCAAATTAGATGAGGTTAGAATGCTCAAAAAAGGATATCAGTGGCAGTAAGGTTAAAAGAGGATTATGACATGAGAAAAGATTATGTGTGACTAGAATTATCCCTGTCAGTAGGATTATCCGAGACAGCTAGGATTACCAGAAATACTAGGATTGTCAGTAATATTCTCACAATTGTTTAAAATATTTCTCTATAACAGAATTTGCCAAAACAGTTGGATTTACCAAGACAGTATTGTTCTAGTAATTACATTCCCCCTTTCTAGTTATATCACAGTTTATTCACGAGATATTGTGCAAATACTTGCAGTACAGAATTTCTTGGTGCTGAGAATTCTGTTACCGTTGCTACAACTACTTCTTTTGATAGAATTATTAAAATAGTATTATGATTATAAATATGTCATTCAGATTACTTAATTTGAGAATAGTCTATAAGGAATAGGATATTAACATTGTGAGGAGGGTTCTATATTGGAGAGTTCAATGTCAGAAAGTAAAAAATAAAGTAGAATTGTTCAAGATATACATTTTCGACACAATACAATTATTCAAGTAATTTAATTCAAGTATAATATTGAATAATAATCAATAATTTAACATTGAAATTATTGATTCATTAAAATAATTCCTCTCTAGTTTGCATATTCTAGTAACAATTCGTTTTGTAAATCACAATTCACTGCAAATTATATTCCACTCATTAGGATAACATTTTTTATTAATACTACTGAAGTTATTAAAGTTATTGTAATTAGTAGAATATGTTTCATCTGGATGATTCGATTAATACATTGTTGTTAACATGATATTTGTAGAATATTGAAAAAATAATGTATTAAGAAAGAAATGTCCAACTTCGGTATTAAAAGTGTAGCACATGTTCAAAAAATTAGAACTTTGTGACCATATAACTGAAAATTACACAAAAATGACTAATATCTTCAAAAACGTTCACCTAAAATAATTTAAAGATATTACACAAAGAAAATTTACAGAACTAATATAGAAGGTGGACTGATTCGAAATACATTTCATTAGTTACTTTTGAACTTTCAGAATTTTTAATGGAAATTAAATCTCTGCGAAATTACTAAGTGAATCCTGCTCTTTTTGAGGAAACAATGAGAACATCTTGTGGGAACAGATTTTGTTTACGACTTGTCCTGGTTTTTTATACCTTTGACAATTTTTTATCAAAATGCTAACTATTTGTTTATAATGTGGTTGCAACATGCCTGGACAATACATTTTTGAAAAAGACCCAAATAGAGTGGAAGTGTCAAAAAAAATTGTGTCAATAAAAATACTGAGTCTTTTTTATTAAGGTCATAAAAATCATTGCTTTTTTTAATGTTAGGTTAAAATATAAAATGTATATTGTTTCACAAAATAAGGAAATTATAGTTGTTGCCACAAATCAAAATTGCAATTATAAGTCAGGTCCAAATACATTAAGGATTTCAGTGGGACTATTCACTCATCCATCTCATTTTTATTTTAAAAATAATACCGTTTTAATTGTTGGTTTAAAACATAAAATGTAATATGTCTCATAAAATTAGGAAGTTCAGAGTTGAAAAAGAAATATTGAAATTGTCAGGTACAGTACAGGACCACTTTTCATTCAGGGGCCCCATAAAAAAAAAAGTTTTTGTAATATGTTGTTTAAATGTAAGCTTGAAACATTAAATGTCACATTATCCAACAACACTGGAAAATTCTAATAGTTAGAAGAAAATATCACCTGAAATTATAAATATGGGGAAGAACTACAAAAGATTTCAGAAAAAACACCTTCTGTTCAGACACACCTATGTGTGTTAGGTCCCTAAATGTTCAGACATCCATAAATGATTTTGAAATATTACATTTTTAAATGTTACTTTGAAATATAAAATGTAACATGATGCAAAAAAATTGGAATGTTCTAATAGAGTAAAAAAACAACTGAAATTACTAATATGGGGAAGTACCACAAAAGATTTCAGAAGAAATACTGTCTACTACCAGACACACCTATTGTGTTAAGACCCTAAATATTGAGACATCCATAAATTATTTTTAAATATTATATTGTTTAAATGTTGCCTTGAAACATAAAATGTTCCATGTTTTAACAAAATTGAAAAGGTGTAATAGTTGGAAACACCCCACAATTGAAGTAACAAATCAAAGGAAGAACCAGAAAATATTTCAGAAAAAAACACTTTCTATTCATTCAACTCTATATGTGTTGACCTCTTAAATTTCTTTTATGTTCAGAGACACATAATTGCTTTGAAATAATAAATTATTTAAATGTTAGTTTGAAATATAAAATATAATAAGTTCCAATAAAATTAGAAAATTCTATTAGTTGGAAACAAATCACAATTGAAATATCAAATCAGAGAAGGATTCAGGTAGGATATAAGGAGAGAGCCACTTTCTGTTTAGACTTCCCATCCATAATTTTTTTGAAATGATATTTTTGTTCGTTAGCTTGAAAAATGAAATGCAATAATTATGTTCTCACAAAATGAAGTTCTAATAGTTAGAAACGAATCATAATTAAAAAGAAAAATCAGTTCTTTCTGGCAGTTCTACAAAGTACCTTAGGAAAATGAGCACTTTCTATTCACTCACTCCACTCATAAATGTTTTTGAAATAATATTTTCATAAACATTCAAATATGAAATGTAATTCATAATGAAAATTATTCTTTTTTGGATAAGATCAAAACATTACAGAAAATGTTATCCTAGTGGCGACCGGCTGGTCCTGGCACTTTATATATGTATGTATACATCATACACCTTTACTCTTAAAAACCATATTGTAGCATTTGCTTCCATAATTCTCATCAATTTAGGAGATTTGATATTATTAGAATGCAGATATTAAAACAATATGTCACTTTTCAATTAATAATTGCACAGAATTCATATAAAGAATAAGAATATGAGGTGCTGTTTGACAAATGATTTCCTTTCACTATTTCATTTTGTTTGATTCACAAAACAGAAAATTTAACGGGCATGAGTTTGAACCATGAATTACTAATACTACTGGAAGGACAATAAATGATTGACTCTTTGTTAACATGCTATCAATAATTTGCAGATTGGCTTTAAAGTTAGTTTGGCAAAGTCCTAACACCTAGTACATGCGAGCACACATGCACACATGCTCATACACACGCCACACGCCTAAATCTTCACCATTATAACTCTGTATAACCAAATGACTTGAAATTTGCGGTCTTTCCCAGCGTCTCCTGTATTTCCCATCGTGCAACGTTAACTGACAGACTAGCATCGAGTGTCTGTGTTAAACGGATTCAAAGAAATGTATTTTTGTTAAGAATAACAATAAATAAGTAGAGAAGTATATTAAATTACACTTGTTGCAACAAGATAGACATCGTAATTATTTCATCTTTATCTCGAAGCTCTTCTGTAATTCATGGTTCATCGCTGACAGCAGCGCCCCTGTCGTCTGCGGAAGATGTCAGCAACATTGTCTCACTTTATTTGAGTACTGGGAAACGTGCGATCGGCCATCATGCCAAGAAGTACTTTTGTCACCACTTACGATTGACAACTTCGGCTTTCGTTTGTGCGAAGTGATTACTATTGCATCTGAGAGAACTTCAAAAGTGATTGTTCGAGAAAAACCGTAAGTAATACATATTATATTTGCAAATGCGAGTGTAAATGTAAACTTGAAGCACATTTCGCTGCAACCGTTCAAACGCTCATGCATGTGGTTGTTCAGCAGAGCTGTAGGAAAGATATGAATCTATAATAGAACATATTTTACATCTTCAGTATGAATCATTTAAATTTAAGATTTTAAAAGATTCAATATTTTAATGGAAGTAAACCTGCGCGCATACGCATTTGATTATGGCCTCGTTAAATTGTCCCGAATGTAATGTTAGATTCCATAGCTTAGTTAGGGTATCTGAATAAGGAAAGGTCCCTGGCTCTGGTCCCGATCAAATCAATTATTTGAACTGTGACTATACATTTTCAATATTATGTTAAGTTGTACAAAATACAAAAAGTTACAAAGTCAATCAATTTCGTTGTAAACCCTTCACGTCAAGTCTATAAGAATAAAATGTTCGGCTTAAATGAGTATTTAAATTGCTTAAAACAATTATTTCTTACGTAGAAGAAACAATCAAAATACGTTCAAGATAGTCAATTTTTTAATAAAACAATCTATCCACCAACACAATAGACAATCCGTTCTCACAGTTAGCAAGTCACAGGATCTTTTCACTAGGTAGGTGCTTTTAGAAAAGCCCTGCATTACTCAAGGCCAACTTCATTGCTCTCTCAATGGAAAAAAACGCTTTAATTTTTTTGCTAGTGTTACTGTAGTCAATTTGTCGGGAGGTGTCCAAGTATTGACCAAGAATTGGATAAATAAAATTTCGAAACTAAAATAGCTGAAAATTAGTATTAAATAGTTCATTATAGTGAACTAACTTTGGCATTAACAGGAAGGGCGGCTTTGATACAGTTCTTTTTGTTTTCACTTTTGTTAGGCAATATTGAAATTTTTTCATGATTATCGTTATACTTTTTAATGTAATGTTTTGACATTAATGCAATTATTGAGGAAAAGTCTATACTTCTCATTTATGGAGAAAGAAATTGAATAATGATTTTTATTGCATTGAATTCACATGGGGATTACATCACTCAATTAATTTATCAAAATCGTCAAAAAATTATTTATAAATTCGGTCACCTCCAGAGCAATCAGCTCTAGAGACCCTTTTTCGGTAATACAGTGGATCTTGCCAACATTGGTATTGCCAGGGTAAATATAAAAGTTGAACATCTTCCCGATATTAATGGATTACTCTAGTTATATATTTACACTTACGTAACTTGTGTTCTTAAAATAGGAGGAATGGCTACCATTTTCAATAGGTTGACGATGCTGTTATATCGTAGTGATTGGTATTATTCTAAGTCAAAAGAATCTGCCTTAATCCTGGGAGTTGTTAAAATATGTAAAAGATTATCACACACTGATATAATTAGAAAAATTAATATCCCACTATTTATTTAAAATAAAAATGAGTTGAAGTTTGAAGCAAAGGGAGTATGCTGGGTATTTTAGTATTGTTTGAACCGGCGTTGCTAGCCGAATACCTTGACTACGCTCCTTGTAGTCACAGAGGTTAAGCGAATTTGGGAAATCGCGGATTCCTGGTTAGGGGCCATCAAGGAATTTACGGGATCTAACGGCACTCAACCCTTAGTCAAAAGTATAGGGGTCGAAGGGTCGATTAAAATAGCTCTCAAATGTTAGGTTGTTGTGTACTGATAAAAAGGAACAAAACGTTTATTTTAAATCAATTAGAGAATTTGATTCCACAGATATAAATGGACAGGGCTGAAAAGTTCAGATGTTTGGTTGTCCGGGAGATGTCGCACACCTGGTACGGTTTCGGCCGTCATATTGCGACCTTCCTCAGAGCGAAATGCCGCTCGTATGGCGAGGAAGGTCGCAGCGTGTGATAGACTAGACTTTTAACAAAATGTTATTCAATATTTAGTGTACAGACCTTGGTGGGTGATGGTTACTGTGACTCTGAAATACAGTGCTTCAGCAAAAGGTCTGTTCGGGTCTGTTCTTGACATTGCATTAAGTACTACACATTCAAAGAGAATTGAATTTTTGAATTTTTCCTACATCAATTTTGTTTTTAAGAATATATGGAAATATTAGCCCATTGGGGAAAATATTTTGAGCATGGGTCTGTGTAGTCACATAGTTGAAAGATGGTTCTCTATTAATTTTTAGGCACACATTTTTAGTTAAAAAGCAGATTTCACAAAACAAACTCACATTTTTAATATGTAGCTCGTTTTTCCACGCGACCACACATTACAAATAAGACGGCAGACTTGAAAAATGGTATATTGGAGATTCAATGACTTATATTTTTAGTTACATACTATAGATACTGAAGGCATTATTACTACTATTATTCTAACCACTGAAATACTTTAAATATAGGTAAACGGAAAGAGAACAAAATAGAATAAGATCTGATACAAACAATTAGTCATTTCTGTACAACAGTTCTCAGGCACCGCATGTTTTGACTTCAAGAACATGGCGGCCACTGGTTCGGAAATAACGTCCAACAAGAGCGCTGAAACCATAAGGCTAGCCATTCTATGGAGTATATTCTAGCTCGTTCGAAGAATTCCACCCCGGATGGAAGGTCCATGTAGAGCAGAGATCTTATAAGGCCTCAAGAGCGTCAACTGAAATCTTTAATATCGTTGCGGTCAAATGGTTTTGATCTAATTTTTACGTCATTTTTCATTTTTTAGAGAAATTTAAAACATTTTATTGATAATTTTTGGCAATGATTTGTCATTAAAATTAGTTTACTATTGATAAAAATAATTGTCTTGAACATTTATTTAATTTATTACTTTAATAAAAATCCTGTGAATTTTATCAGTTGTAACCAATAGATTTTCAAAATTCTCGAGCAGAGAGGACGACTAAATAGCAAAGAATCCTGAAAGCCTCATACAGAGAATATTATTAAATAATTATCCTATAATTTAATGTTCAATTCATTTATATGGGCGTTCATCGAGGTAGCGGGCAAACGAACTGACTTCCGAAATATGAGACGCGAACTTGCAAATCGACGGGCGGACGGACATTCATTCGTGCCAATGCCCCCCGGGACAACTAAGTTCCTACGAGATGGCATTGGCTGAATTGGCACGTTAGTTAGGTGTGAAGTTTAGATAATTCTGTAGTCTTGCGAAGTCCTGTCAAATATCTATGTAATGCGTATTATCACTCGATCTTTTGACCTTGCTCGTGTTGTACGAAACCTGCCCGTAATTTCACTTAATACACGTTCATTAATACTCATATTACATAAAATTGTTTTTCTGTAGTATATTGAGATTCAATTTTGAACCATTCCATTATCTTTAAAAGATCTTTTGAAGAGAATGTTTTATTCTTTAGTAATGAATCATTAATATTGTAAAATATGAAGATATAACATTCAAAACTTTTTTAGTTTTGGAAAAATGTAATATTGTTTCATTTTATGATCGAAACAAAGGTTTTTTTGCCTGATAAATAGGTCATTAAAAGACTAACACTATCACTTGTTAATGTTTTAAGAGTAATAATGTGTAAAAATATTGTTTCTGACCGATATTAGATGTTCCACGCCGCCGCCCTTGTTCTGAAAAGTTCCTGGTAATGTAACAGCGGCGTGCAATATTTGAGGCAGGAGACCACGTCTTCCTATTTGCGACCGACATTTACCCAGTACCAGATGACTTGAAGTGCAAACAACTGACCCTCGCAGGAAGAGTAAAAAATAAACATTAATAAATTTAAACTACCAGAAATATATTTTTTCCATTGATCAGGTAAGTTAAATTGCTAATAGAATATTGAAAATAAGCGGGAGTTTTGGAAAGATACTAATTAATGCGCATTTATACTTCTTGCCCTGTTCTCAGTGTAATATGACAATATCAATATTTTCTAGTATCAGATACAATAAAATACAGAAAATAGCTACAATTATTTTGCGATTTTTTCGTTTAAAATAAATTTGGTCCTTGTGCTTTTATTTAAAAAAGGTTTATATAGACGTTACAAATGAAACTCCATTAAGTTTACTTCTCAGCAACACCCCTCAGCATAAGTGTCAAATGATGTAGCTCTGAGCAAAGTAATAACTAAATTCAACCAAATTTAGTTGGAACCATTGGATGTAACCAAAAGGTAACAAATATGAGTTGATATTAGTTATTAATTATGAATTATGGTTTTTAATTGAAAAATCTTAGTTCAAATGACTACTTGCATTGCGCCCCAACTGTAAATTGGGTACAAATGTTCTATATTTTTTAATTTTGCAATATTTATAAATGCAAATTTCACTGCAGCAGAAATGAAATTTAATAATAATTAAAATTAAATGCTCTGAAATTTTTCGTACATCATTGAAAGGTTATTTATAATTAAATAATAATTTAAAAAATATTATTGAATTATGTTTAATATTGTAAATAATGTTACGTGTTGGTAATTATTTTTGTGTTTACCACTTCAGTCTGTGCGTATGGGAGATAGGAACAAAACCAGACCGTTCATATAGATAATTTCTGACTTATGTGCGGTGGAATGTTCTAAAAGGTTTATTAAAATTTTAATCAAATTTTATATCTTCTAAATATTTATATACACCGTTCATTTAGCTTTAACATTTTGAGATTACTTGATTATATATAAAGCAGTAAATGTGAATTTGATTTGATATTGATTACTTTTATTTCAAGCATCTTAATTTTTTTCATGTAACGTGATTTGAGGAAATAAACTCAAGGTGAGGAACAAAGGGGACTTCCGGTACAAAATAGCTCTGTTGGCAGGTGAGGTATGGCTAGCGAAATTGGATACAACATTGTTTTCTAATAACTTACATTTATTTACTCCTAAAATTGCTGGAATTATCCATCACAATTGAATCAGTAGTAAATAGATTTGATAATTCTTTCAAGCAGTTTGTGTTTCATGCAAATCATTTTAATTGGATGAAACAGCCCAGCTCAGATGCATTGAAAACTCGGAGGATGGACAGACAAAAAATTTGGAGCTGCATGATTGTTTAAAATTCTGATCTGTATACTACGTGTTTGAACTCTGAAGAATGTTGTAGTTTTACAATTTTTTAGCATTAATGTTTATTAATTTTTATTTTTCAGATAGTTACATTTTACTTGGTTCATAGGCTGTAGAAACAATTTCAGCCCACATGTGTGGAAAATTCACTCTAGATGGCAATTTCGTGAGTGTGCCCACATATTCTGTGTTACATGTTCGTCTATTGTTGGGATAAAAAAGCCGAAAAGTTAGGCAAAGTGCCTTTTTAATTTTTTGCGACTTTATAAATTGTAATAACAAGAATTACTTAATTGTTCTTGTGGAGTTGTTTTAATACACTTACGTTCGTTGTTTAGCTTAATGATGCACTTTTTTTAATTTTCTCGAAACCGCATTTTATTTCTTTATCATTATTTTCCTGTTTTTTCATGGCACTGGTCTCCATCAAGCTGGAAGCATACCTGCAAACATGGACAACACGAAGCCATGGTCTTGTTTTTCTGAGGAAGCGAACCTTCAGAGTCAGTTACTGTTAAAAATGTAAATGAGAAAGGACGATTTTAACAATCAAGATTTTTGATTCTTTTTAGTGATGCTGTCTGGTTTAGTTCACTCCCGATGATTTCCTTCCTAATCTGAGTACGGCTTCAGATCTCGTTTGATGAAAGCTGTTAATATAATCTCTTCTCGGTGCTGGAGATCACATAAATGTGAAGATCAACGAAGTCTTTTCATTCAGTTTTCCCTGATACCATTTGAAGATTAAAATGGGATTCTACAATAAACTTTCGTCGAGAAAACTTAAGAAGTAAAACAAATTCGCAGTCATCATACTGGATTCATATTAGCATACTTCAGAGAAATGATTTCTTTCCAAGTAAGTGCAAATGTAAATTTAAGTTGGAATAAGAATGATTCATATGAATTATTATTTACATAATTCATTTTAAATGTAGATTTTTCTTGTTTAAATGCCTTTTTGCAGCCGTCACATTAGCCAGAAAAATGCCTTTTCGCATCTGTTTTAGTGAAAATTAATGCCTGAACTTCCGGGCTTTAGTGATTAGAGTAGGTAGAAAACTAAGTGATTGTTTCGTTTAAAATCAAATTGTCTTCATGGCATGGTACTAGTTAATAGTATTAATAAGTGAGGAATGCCATATCCATGAGACACACTACATTGAAGTATGCCCTTCCAAGCGATTTTGACTTGAGCACTGTATTTTACGCTACATACAATAATAAGTCACTACATACAACATGGGTAATACGTCACACTCTACAACATACGTCACCCGAGTACTTGTTTGGGATTATTTTAGATTAGATTAGATTTATTAATAATTCTGCAATTAAGTGTGAGAACTTGGTGGCAGAATGCACTAACATAACACTACAGAACTTAACAACTATACAAACTCTACAAACGTTACAAAATCGCATGAACATTTCACCGTGCAATCTTTCATAGAACTTCACTTCACCACACTTCACCGCACTGCGATACAGTTGCACAACGTCACTGCACTTCACGCCACTGCACTGCACATAATAATAATAATATTAATAATAATAACAATAATAACATTAATAATAACAATAATAACATTAATAATAACATTAATAATAACAATAATAATACAAAGACATAGGTAATTGCACTGAATTTTACTAAATATATTTATAACATATCCACATTCAAGAAACTAATTTTTTTTTTAATTTGCTCAGGCTTTGAGGGAAGGGATCGAAGATTGTCACAAAAAAAACTGTTCCCGACTTGTGTGCGATTCGCGAATGAATATTTCCCAACGTCCGTTTTCTGAATTCTTGTCTGAATTTTGTGCATGTGATCCGCTCTGCCGAAATATGTAGATTTCTCTAATCGACTTTGAACTTCTTTCCACGCTCGAAGGCCTGTGTACGCTTTATACATTGCATAGAGACGTGACTTTAATCTTCTCCTTTCGAGTGACTCCAATACCCCTTTATTCTTGGTACCCCTGAAAGTAAATTTTGATGCTCTACGCTGGACTTTTCTAGATTTCTTTGTTGCAAAAGTCTGTATGGGTCCCAACATACCGCGCCATATTCTAATATAGGTCTGAACTCTATTTTGAACTGATAGTATTTACTATAATGTTTCTGATGACCCATTAAACCATTGAAAAAATATACTCATATGCATTAAAAACTCTAAGCTTGGGCGTAAATTTACAGAATTCACGCAAGCGCCATGCTCTCGTGCACAATGCTCTCGTGCACAATGCTCTCGTGCACAATGCTCTCGTGCACAATGCTCTCGGGCACAACGCTCTCGTGCACAACGCTCTCGTGCACAACGCTCTCGTGCACAACGCTCTCGTGCACAACGCTCTTTCAGAGCGTCGCGAATGAGGCCTTATGTGTTTGTGTGTTGGATATGATGAGTAAAATATTTACAAGGAAACAGTTTCATAGGTATGTTTTACAAGTTTGTCACTTGAACTGCGTGTTAGAAAACACTAAAACATTTCAACAAGCTGCATGATTGAATGAATGAGAGAAGAGCACATGTCAAGCATGTGAACTTTTCCACGAGTAATAAGTTTTGTACTGATTTTTTTCATATATGTTCCCTTCTTTTTGTCGTTTATAAAAGAGTGAATAGAAGGCATCTTCACCCAAATGCCTAAAATTCAGGTCTTTGGAAGACAGTTTGAAATTGCAAGGTCATATGGTCGACGAAGTGAGTATAGAACATAAAATTGGACACCTCAAAAACATTCCATTTCATTGGTGAGTGTATTCAATCAATATTGTGTTAATTTCGTAGTTTGTATTCAGTAGAGGTATGGTTTTCATATTTTTCTTTTGGTGATTGAAATATGAGTAGTATGAGGATCTCCATCTCAATGCAAAAAGAATTCACAGCACGGGAGCTCAGAGCCAAGAATCTCTAATAATTATTGATCAAACTCACGGGAAGTATGTTAAACCTGGGACTCAAGCTACAATTTTAACATCCTTGTGTTTTAGTATATTTTTCAGGCCAATTACTTTTGGTTACACTAAAGGAGAAGGAAGAATCTTATTGAGCATTCTTAGAACGAACAGTGTTCATGATACACTCGACACTTTCATACTGAACACTTTCACTACAGAGTGTGTTTCGTAAACAGTGTACTAAGTATTTTGTATATTTGTCACTATCTTTGTGTCACGAAAGAGTTGTAAAACGCAGAATATAGACAAAACAATGAAACTATTGTTCGAATAATTTTTGACAATTTTTCAGGTTATTATTTTGGTTCTACATAGTATGAAGATCGGCATTTGAACCCAAACACATTGAAGACGTCAAGCATGGATTGCTACGTTGAAAACTCTCCAGTACATTGTTTTAAAACAAAGATGGGAGTTCGTTATACATTTTGACTTCTCACGAAGTTTAATTTTATACCGCAAGTACACTAATTATTAATTTTTTGCAAACATTTTTCTCAGGGATTTTGTATTTTTTTCATTTTATTTTCTTATCAGCTAAATGGTGAAAGAGGCAGCATCTCAACCCAAATTCCTTGTATCATCTCAGCGGTAGTTGACATGGTTTTTTTACTATAAGAGCACTACATTATGCATTTGGACCCGTTAAGGAGGTATGTGTTTTGCTATAAATAGGTCTGGTATATTTTTTCGAGGTAATTGTGGTTCTGCTCCATTGAAATCCATTGTAGGAAGCGTCTGTCTAAATGAATTATAAGCTAATATCATAAAAGTACACTTCGAGATACATAAGCCACATGACTATTCAAGACTGCAACAGACGTACGTAAATAATTTTTGCTCGTCAAAACGTTGGGTTAGATTTCCAAATCCCCATGTTGGCGTTATTGAATATTTTCATCAGTGAGAGAATGCATCATATCATTTTCTCATTTATATTTTCTATGTTATATATATAATCACATATTTCTATGTCAACAAACAGCAAGAGACAATAACAAAATAATAAAATTTGATTTGCGTTATTTCAAATTCTTTGGATGGTGTTGAGATCTGAGACACCACTTATGAAATAAGAGAAATACATAGTACAGACCGGGATATTTATCCGGAACAATCTGTTGAACTTCATTTCGAATTATCAAAACACTTTCATGCAGGCGCCTTTGGAAGCCATTTTCGTGAATCTATTTTAAAACCGTTTTTTTACATTTCTTGAGTAAACGTGACAGCCACACACATCAAATTATAAACTTAAAATGTAAATTGTTTTCAGAAATATGTAAAACATCTTCTAACTGCCTAATGTACGTTTTTCTATGTCAGAATTTAGTCAATTTGCCCATCACTCTAGGCGACGCTCACGATAGCCTCTGTAGTGCTCATAAATGTCCTTTCATGGTATCAAGTGTGTATTCTCTCACTACTATTGAGATGTTTCTTAAATATACCAGGTTTTTGAACATCGATAAGGTTTTGGTCCAGTCTCCCTGATCCATTGAACAAATGCTAAGATGGCCCCTTGTTTTGTTTCTGGACGAAAATCTAGCTTCGCTCTGCGCACGCTTTGCAGAACTCTTTTTCTTGTAATCGTAGTAGTAGAGGTAAGGACGAGTTACCATTGTGTTAGCAATGCAGAAAAAACATACTTGTTGATATTTACATCTTTAAATGAAGAAAATCTTAAATTTGAAATATTTTTTTTTATTATTATAAGATTTAGAGGTGTGTGTGGGGAAAAAACAATTTCAGACGCTCGGGGCAGGTAATTACTCTGGCTGACGTGTGGGAAATATATATAAATGTTTTACTCAAAATTAAATTTAAGTTTATATGACGTCTGTTTAGAGTTAAAATTATTTTTATATTTCCGTTTATATTTCCATTGTGTCGGTGCGTGAACCGGTCCTTCCGGCGGTCGGTGCGTGGGCCGGTTTGGATATATATTCAAATATTGGAGACACATTTTTGCACAGGAATTTAAAATTTTCTGAGGGAAAACAATTTGATTCTGGCAGACGAAACTTTTATTTGAAAGCGATAATGGGACGATATCAAAATGAACGGAATTTACCATTTTTCTTGTCTTAGATATATTTATTTATCATTGGACAAAAGGAAGTCCTACCCAGATTGTTTTAGATTTGTCTAAAGCGTATGGCGTTAGGTTGTATAACACATTGCTCTCGTAATTACGAGAATTCGTGGTTTTCAAACATTGTTTTGAAAGGATGTATATAGAGCACTTAGAGGAAAAACTGTCCAAACCCAAAGTTGGGTTTTGTTACTTTCTAGTTAATTTCATAACTTGTAATAACTATGTAATATCTACAAATATAAAATTAATTTTATGTGTAATTAAACATAATATTTTCTTTTAGATAGCATAGAGAAACTTTCTAAGAAATATTTTTGTGTCAACACTGATAAACATTGGCGTGCGATCTAAAATCCATGTATTTGCAAGGCTGATTAAGTTACTATGGCACAAATAATTTTAATAGTGGGGCTACAGAATGTCCCTGACTTTCTTGTATTAGTATTGTATTTTCTTTGGTCTGGGCTATCTATTCGGACTTCACCCGGGAGAGATAGCTGGGTCATCTAATGTTACTGCAGTCTTTCTCACCGGGAGGTCCTAGAACCGCGTTCTGATGGAGACAGCATTTTCTATACTTGCCTGCCAGGCAGGTCGAATTTAGTTGCTGTCTGGAGGACAATTCTTCCGACCGGCTCCTCTGATCGGTAGTTTTAGAAAAGAGCTCTAGTGGGACAGATTTATCACACACACAGTTTTTAGATTTTAAAATTACCCCATTTTTTCATAAAAATGTAATAAAATATCAATATTCATTTTTACTTTACAGTTTTTATACTTAATGCCCTTTTATTATTTCACATCTTATGTATTTACGGTTCTCATATCAGCAATAGGATATTCTTAATTTTCCATTAGTTAAGATACTTTCGTAGGATATTCGACATGTGTAGTTTCTTTCTCTTTCGTTACAAACTTCCATTAAGAAGGAAATTATAAATATTTACCCCATTCGAAATAGACGTTGTATCGAAAATGAACGAAGCTACATATTTAAAAATTCATAAAAAATAACTGAACTAATGGAAAATCGTGAATATCTTATTCCTGATATAAGAAACTTGAAATTGAACTAAAATAAAATCAAGAATTTATTTTGTGTATAAAATATTGTCTAGTAATTATGGACACATTAATTGTTTGAATGAAAACTAAGAATTTGAGATTAGTGTATAAAGAATTTGTGAAAGCGGATATTATTGAATTGCGTTTTTAAATGTTTGAATTCTGTTGAATATATTACATTAATATTGGTTTGGTTGAAAATGTTTTGTTATATATTGTTAAATTAGTGTATGAAATGATAAAAATAGAGTATCTGAAAATCTGATCTCTAATATTTTGTAATGTCAAAAAATCTGGTTCATCCTTTTTTTAAATTTCCACAATTTCCCTCACATAAAAAGCCGTAAAAGTGGGGATAATTTATATAAAAATGGACAAAATATGAATTTGAGTATATTAATACAATTTTAATGAAAAATGGAAAAATCTAGAAATCTCAAATTGTGGGATTCAAGGAATTCAAAAACCTGAGCCAGGAGCCCTGTTTTATATGCTACTTTCGTTTATGGACGAAATACAACATGTGCAAAATACAAAACAAGTCGATTACTAATTCGATAATATCATAAGTAACATTTTTGTTATATTCAAATGTATAGCGACAGCATCCAGAACCATTCACAGGTCCGCACTTTCAGTTCATCTAGGCTGAAGTATTTCCTAGGGAACATAATTCGTCGTACGACGAAAACTCCTGAAAATATCCCAGAACGTCACGTAAATTATAGTAACAGAATCCTGATAAGTGTCTCAGTGCTAAAGTGTGTTTAGTAAATCACCTACCGCTCTGAAGCAAATAACTTTCTCGAATATATGGTAGTGCTACCTTCCAATTAAAGGTACTATATGCCGAAATCAAGTAGTCCATCCGTTAATTATGCTAGTTCCTAAACTTTAACACCGATCTATGCTAGAATTTTTGCTGGAATGTTTTGCAGCCTTGATATTCTGTAATCATTTGTGCACATGTTTCGGTTTCTCGCATTTAAAAATATTCTTTTAATTTCTTACGTGTTTAGGTACAACTCTGAAAATTGTGTAAGATAAAATTTGCAAAATTATATAAATTCAGTTTTACCAGTAAGAAGAGATTGGTACTATTAGTTTAATTATTTTTTTCTAATTTAATCTTTAAACAGTGTGATACAATTTTCTGACGCTACAGAATAGTATAAACATTCTACTAATGTTTCCTTATCTTTTCAGCTTCGCCTCAGCGTCCTTTCATCTGCCATCTGTTGGCATATCTGTCAATGAAAATATTCAAATTCCCAACAGAATTGAAATGTGAGGAAGAATATTAAAGAAGATTGAAACCTTGACCCACATTTGTTTCCGTACAAAAAATTCGAGCAATTTTTAAGGAAATATCGTTTAAGCGTTTCTGAAAATGCCCAATATTCAGCTATTTTTCGAAGAAAATGTTATTTGCGAGAAACTCCATTTTAAATCAATCGAGTACAAATGCAATAATGTGAACTAATCACCGATAACGTAAATATTAACGACTTGAGAGGTACGAGATACGAGAGTATGAGAAACTTTTCTACAATTTTTGGGAAATCAAATAAATGCATGAAAATTGCGTTTGTCATGTTATTGGGTTTTATTTTGCACTATTTTCGAATTATTTCGAACTATTAAAATGTTTAAAGAAAACATTTGAAGCCGTTTTCGAAAAAAAATGTTTGATCGTTTTGGAAACCGCAATTTGAAGTTTATTCTCAGAGAAGTTCTGAATTTTCACGAAACTTTATAGAAGATCATTTAAAGCACTTGAACTGAAAAATGAGTTAATTTAAAGAAATCAGTGGAAATGCAAATAGTAACGTACAAAACATTACATTTGTAAAGTTTTGGAAAAAGTAAAGAATGTAGCAAAATGTTGTTCGTCATTTCTTATAGTGCAATTATCACAATCCCTAAAAATTGAAGATCAAATATAGAGCAGTTTTAGACATAAACTTCATTTTAAGGTTTTTCATGTTACAGCACAAAACTTCCACAATTTCCAAAAAAAATACGTGCATGATAAATTATCACAAGGGTGTGTAGAACAATAAATTCGTTTAAATTTATAATTAGAACGATAGCAACAATGCGGGACAAAGTGCTTGAGTGCCAGTGACCTATCAGGAAATCCAATGTGTGAAAGAAAGGGAATTGTCTGCGCACTGGACGAAGAGGAAACCTGTTTGAGTACGATCTGTGCAGGGAAGGAGACGGATGAAGAGCGCGCAAGTCAAACTGGCAGGCGATATTCCTAAACGGTGAGGTGCGGATGGACGGACATGTTTGAGTCGGTACTGCTTTGCAAAGCAGTATGGAAAAGTTCCGAATAGACATTGAATTATTATTGCGTGTGTAGGAAGCAGATGCATCATTGGTCAGGACCGAAAATTCAACAAAAATTGAACTTGAAATGGATACTGGATGACGTCCGAAAGGGCAGAGGACCACGGAAGGGAAGTGAAAGGGGAACATACGAAATTATCTGTTTTAGGAAGATAATATTTTGGGGTAAATTAATAATTCTAGATTAAAATCTAAAAAAGTAAAAAGGCCATGCATGCAAGGGGAGGGATCCAGAAAAAGAACAGTACACAATAATGGGTGTTTCATGATGTTTTTGAAATTGTTGTACCATCAAATGTAATGTTGGATGTGATACGCATGTTTACAGCAGAATATAGATGGCAATGCTATTAACTGGAAGTAAACATTATTATTCCTGGATAGTATAAAAGAGTCTGATCCCACAATTAACTTACGTACATTTTTCATAACCGAATATCTGTAGAGACGGTCTATCCGACCCACTAGTAAAATTCATCATGCCGCTTAGGTATATCTTTTGGCTATTGTCGGGTGAAATATTAAATGGAAATTTAGGCAGAATAAATAAATAAAAAGGTGCCATAAATTACCCACAAGATGCTAATGAAAGAACTAATTTCTGGCAACAAATTTTACGTGAAGAAAAAATCGTTGTATTCAATACCTTTCTGAAAAGTCGTCGAGAGAAAATTTTGATAAGTAGGTGTTAACCGTGAAAATCGAATCTTTGCCTTCTTCAGAAGTGTAGTACTCACTTAGTTATTTAAGGGCTAACAGGAAAATACTCCCAAATAATAAAGAATGATTTTCAAAATCCCAGAGCTTCTAGTCTGACCATATTGACACGAGTATATCAATTAGGAGAAAGATCTATTAATAGATTAGTATTGGTCAGACACTCACAAGAGGATTTGAAAAAACACTTTTCGGTATCAGGGGACCGCAAACTAGCAATTCCGTTAAAATCTCGAAGATGATATTCTGCAGCATTACTCTAATTTCTCTTTATTACGTATACTACTCAATGAACACGTACTTACGAGGAAATTAAATAGCGCATTATTAAAACAAAAAATTGATTTTAAGTGAATGTCGCGCAATAAGATTTTTTGTTGTATATTGTATGTAATTTTTGTTAAAGTATCGAATAATTTAATTCTGCGGATAAATTAAATGCATGTTTTACACCAATACATCTAAATTAATAGAAAATATTTCATTTCAGTGCTGATAAGAGTCGCACACCATACAGTGACAGAGAAGACTGACATATGCGGTATCACAGAACTCTAGAAGAATTTGGATAGATCTTCAATGTATATATTGATTTCCGAACCTATTGCCCGTAGTGATTGATTCTACACCTACATTTACTATAAATTGTATTTTGTTTTTGTTAGTTCTGTGAATAATGGATATCAATGAATAAATCCTCTGGAGGTATTTACCTCTATAAATTACATAAATGAATATTTTGCTCCCTTGGCAAATCAACACCGAAAAAAGAAGCTCCTCAATAATAGGTAAGACTGAATAATAAACCTAGCAGTGTGTTGAAATAAATAACAGAACTAATTCATTTGAATGTAAATATCCTAAAACCCTTTGGTATTGACTTGAAATCATTATTTATTACTATTTAAATTACTGTGAATGTATTACTTTTAGCTAGTGAACATTAATGCCTTTTTGAAAATACCACTACCACGAATAAAAACGGAATGTTTCTCAATCTAATTGTGCATGCAACACTGGAGACACCATTTATGTATGCATCGCAAACTCACTTGTGATCAAATTCACTACGTAGTGATTTTTATGAATGTACAGGAATGTATTTCGGTACTTTTATATAAAAAAAATTATTCCATCCTGCTTCCGTGAACGAAAAGTACTTGTTCGATATTTTTCAGGTATCTTGTATTCAGGCAGTGATCCAATGCCAGGTTCTTTTAAAAGCACATAGTGGAGGTTTATCTCGGAAATACAGAGATCTAGAATTCTTTTACAATATAAGGTGAGTACAGCACTAGTCATATAAAATATAATATTCATAGTGTGACTAATTACTAGTAAGTATTAGGTTACACGCAGCCTGTAATGCATGCAACATTATGGAACGGAATATCTCATCCCGAGCTGAAAAATCGTAATAATGGGGATTAGGAGTTCGTTTTCATTCGCAGTAATTACAAGGAAAATGAAGCATTTTTAAACATAAAAATGATTCCTGCACGTAATAAGACGCATTATCTTTCCCCTGGCCATTAATCGCCGTCAGCCTACTATCGGCTGAGTAATCGGTGACACAAGATTATTTTAAAAGCATGGGAAAGGTGTTATTTCATTTGCAATAGTGTATTTCAATTAATACGTCAACAGTATATCCTGATGTTTTAAAATATATCGTATTTAATGCATTGTAAAAGAGCTTAAGGAATCATCCCGACACGAAAGTTCACATTTCGAGCAACTACTCACAAAATGGTTATTTCAGAAATCTTAAATGATTAAATGAAAGAGCTACATTTTGCAACCTGTATAATAGAGCAAAGATTTTCCTACATTAAATAGCAAATGTATTTTATGCACCATAGAAGTAAGTGTTCGGTTGGATTAAATTTCTTAAGACCGAAAGCACTGTGTCAAATCATGTTAGAGATGAATCGCTATTTTGAGCCAAGGTAGGAATTGTACAAAAAAAGAGAGATTCGTACAAAAAATTTTAAAAAAATCCACGTACTCTGTATTCAAACAACATCAGATACTAATTTTACAATCGCGAGAATTAAATTAAATGACTTTCTGCGAGATGATTCAGGTTCCGCATATGGGATACACAACAAAGACACACGAAAACAACACACTAAGGATAAAACATAATCCTGCCCTAAGCCGATTTCTAAATACATCATAAAAAGTAGTTGGTTCTTAACATAAAACACTGTTCATAGAGCAATAAAATTCTATACAGTAATAATAAGGGAACATGATTACCACGCTTCAGCCGGTAATGCACGCAAGTGCGCAAGTAATTTGCGTGGGTGTGCTCTCCCTCCCTCTCTGTGCGGGGGGATGTGCTCCCCTCCCCCTCTGTGCGGGGGGATGTGCTCCCCTCCCCCTCTGTGCGGGGGGATGTGCTCCCCTCCCTCTCTGTGCGGGGAGATGTGCTCTCCCTCCCTCTCTGTGCGGAGGTGTGTGCTCTCCCTCCCTCTCTGTGCCTGGGTGTGTGCTCTCCCTCCCTCTCTGTGCCTGGGTGTGTGCTCTCCCTACCTCTCTGTGCTTGGGTGTGTGCTCTCCCTCCCTCTGTGCGGAGGTGTGTGCTCTCCCTCCCTCTCTGTGCGGAGGTGTGTGCTCTCCCTCCCTCTCTGTGCGTGGAGGTGTGTGCTCTCCCTCCCGCTCTGTGCGTGGATGTGTGTGCTCTCCCTCCCGCT